CACATTATTACGCCCCCACGGCTGAAAGGGCGAGTATGTTTGGTGTGACGGGGATTCGAACCCGCGACCAACAGATTGCAAATTGAGCGTCCTAACCACCTGGCCATACCGGGCCACAAACTTACGTAAAAGTACCACAAAGTAGAGAACATGTTTCTAGGCAGACATGACAGACATGACTCATAAGAAACGTGTCTCACCATGAATATAATTACTATGGTTGATCGTACATGTCTGTTTAACCATGTGATTTGTGCTGTGTTGCAATGTAGTGTAAAATTCGAAAAATTAAGCGTTAGATATGAGGTCAGAGAAAATCATATGTCTAGAATGAACAAATATATTTCGCAATACTTCACAGTTCATATATTATAAACCAACTAATTAAAGTTTTGATAATTCTGTGTCTGTAACAAAAAACATCGGTTACTATAATAATGTCATAATAACAAACTAATTAATGTTCACTTTACACAAGCAATCAAAGTTTATTTTAGAAATTATACAAAACATTTGAAAACTAAATCAGCCGTGTACTTTGCATACAGTTTAAAACTTCAGTATACAAATCAAGACTTGTAAAGTGTCTCATATCCTCAAACATTAGGAAATATTTAAATGTTTACTTATATGACGGTGTAAATAAAACAAATCTATTAGACACATATAGACAGGGAACGTGTCAAGAACAACAAGTATTTCAATCGTTTATATAAAATGGACAAACAACCTAGAAATTCTATTTAAATTTTTTATGATAAAAGATAATACATACCTTTTCTTTCACGTGTTATAAATCCAGTATGTTTACAATCCAAATAAACTGTTACGTCCATTATACTAAGTTTCGATCTATAATTCGCATATTTGTCATTTCAATAGAAATCGCAAAGTTAGAAACATTGTCTTAACTTCTTGAAGGTGTAATCATTTAAGAGCTTAAAGAAGTATCGATATCGTCCATCTTACAATTAGGACGATTTTTATCTGACAGCATAATATCCTGAAATATGTATGGATTAATTTAGTTTTAATATAAGTTAGTGTACAATTTTTGTTATTCTTCTGTTGTTACTTAGTAAAGTCAATCGGCTTGGAATAAAATGAAATTTGAATTATACTTAAATGTGTGACACTAATTATTATAGCAAATATAAGGTTTGTGAAACAGTGAATGTATATATTCAGACATAACGCTACATACAACAGGCATTGACACGAATGACAAAGGTCACTTCTGAGTTGACAAAGTCTATTTCGCAATACATAGTCTAACTGGATAGCTACATTTCCTGACCATTTATATGTAAATCCAGAAAAAGACGTTTATTTAGATATCATGCAAATTTAAAATTTACTGTTTCACTAGTTATATTTATGCTATCAATATAACTTGACAAAATAATTCATTTACACGTTTTATAAAGGTGGATGATGTTCTACATATACATTGTGTTACTAAGGCAATTGCCCCCCAGTGGCACAGCGGTATGTCTGCGGACTTACAACGCTAGAAACTGGGTTTCGATACCCGTGGTGGGAACAGCACAGATAGCTTTGTGCTTAACTTCAAACAAACAAACTAAGGCAATTTGGTTTTCAATGTGTCTGAACATATGATTACGTCATCAATGTCCTAAGTTAAACTTATTTAACATTAACATTGTTACACAAGTCAGTTTTTATCATACATTCATTTGAACGACACAAGTAATTTACAATTCCCTGTCATAAAATAATTTTATTATACTGTTATGTCTCTGCTCGTTTGATAATTTCTTTAATTTCCGGTATAAATTCTTTCCGAGGAACTTCAGCGCTTCAAGTCCTTTCTTAATTAAAACTAGTTTATTCTTTCTGGATACAAC